TCTTCGTTTAGAAAAGCAAGCGCTCAGTAAATATGTAAAAAAATTATAATTTTATATGAAGAAATATGAAACTCGCAAAATCCTTTTATTGATAGATTCCGCAGAAAACTTTTAACAAGCAAAGTTTATTGCAATAATTTTAATTTCTTTATCAATAAGATATTTTCTATCTCACAAATATTCGTTTCGACGTAGATGATAAAAGCTACAGTTTTTAATAATTCAATTTTTGTTCACCAATTGACGTTTATCAATTTAACTGGATTATTTATTATTTTTTTTTAGTTATACAAGAATAATTACAAGAGATATATTGTGCAAAATAATTTCATGATATTAAATTCACGTATACACGTTCAGTATAGACTTGATGACTCTTTAATCGCGTATAATTATTTGATTGCCTCTAATTAAATGTTTATATCATGTAAGAAGTACTATTACGTGTAGTTTATTTTCGTTATATTTTTAAAGTAATACTGCCTAAATAAGAAATATTGCGCTTAATAAGAAACAATATCTTGCGCAAAGTTACTTTTGCCAAATTTAATTTTGCTGAACTTTTACAATTATCTATATACAAGTTTAAATAAAAAAAGTTTAATACTTTAAAGAAATATCTAATATCTCAAGTGTATTTTTAGATAACTTTATGATAATTTTGTATTTATGCATGGAATAATAGAACTGAAAACAATAATAGAAAAACTCAATTACAATTCATAATTGAGCAATTAACTTACGTGGGATGTGCAAGTCAGCTATTTCTTTTAATCAGCCATTCACTAAAATTCACGAAGAACAAAACTGAAACAGCAAATATCGCTTTTTGACTGTTATTGAAGTGTCGTGCTATCAACAGGATTCGCACGTCAACGGGTATCCGTTCTCTGTTTTCGTGATTAACACGTGCGCGTTTTTGTTTTGAGGTCAGGAAGGAGAGAGCCAGATATCATCTGGAGAACAACAATTGTTCTCATCTTGAATTATGAGCAGGTGGGGAGGATCGAGACTGTTATAAGACGTACAGCTCGCACGGATCATTCATTTCCAGCCCGGCTATCTTCGGATCGATTTTGGTGCGGGAGCTCGATTGTCCAGCAACCCCGTCGTCCAATCTTGCTCTTAAGCAGCTCAGACAGTTCCGTGTTTGCATTTCTTCCGTGAAAGACAAAAATGGCAGTGAAGGCAACGATCATTATGATCTTGTTTGCCGTGACAAATGCGGTACCTGTGCGAGATATCCGTAAGTAAATTTTCATAAGATGTAAGATTGTGTGTAATATTCTTGTTTTTAATATCATTCAGCAAGCATTTAAAAAAATATATCAATCAAATAAAAATTTTTATTTTGTATTTTTATGTGACTATATTTATTACAAAAGTATTAAAGAAATTTTATCAAAATAAATAATTTTTATTACAAAAAAATTTTCCGCTGCTAAATCTGAAAATTTTTAAAAAACAATGAAAAGGCTAATAATAAAATTTAATTTAAACGTTAACAATTATAACGTAAATTTTAAATAAATAACGAGAAATATATATAAATTAGGAAATTAATCAACATATTATTCGATTTAACAGCATAAAATCATTTTAATATTAATATTTTTTGCTTATGTTAAATTTCAATCTGTTTTAATACTTGCTGATCATAAGAAGCTTTTGAGTAAAATTGATAAAAATTAGTAATATAATATTTTATTTACTAATTTTTAGTAATTGTTAAATTAAAAATTATATTTTCCGCATATTTATATAACTAATTTGTATATAGGAAATAGCAAAATAATTCTTATTGCATCATTACATGGCTTACAATATATTATATGAACATCGCCATGAATATTGTCAGTAATATTTTATGCCGGAAATTAAAACCGTATATATGTTATGAACAGATGATAAGTAAGGCATTAAGGCAATAAAGCATAATGCCCGAGATCGGGCAGAGTGATAAAACATTTGTTATTTTATTGCATTGACCGAGCAATATAAATAAAAATAAATATAAATATATATATATCACTCTGTCCGATCTCGGACCTTGTGTATAATACCTTATTTATCACTTTGTCCATAACATATATAAAAGTTGATGACCATGATAATGTTTCTTTTAAATTTGGCAAATTAAATTTTATAATGATATCTCATTTTTTGCAGCTTATGCGGGAGTAAAAACACGAGACTTTTATGTTAAAGATTAAAGATTGTGAATTAGAGATTATATAATAATTCGATTGATCAAAATAAAGTAAGCAAATAAGATGAAGATTAATTGATTATTCAAATTCATCTCCAATTCACAATGTCAATTCTCAATGCGTAGTCTGACAACGTAAGGTGTTTGATATCACTTTTTAAATTGCTATCGATTAATTTTACTAAAAACCTGATCACTTCAGGCGTTAAATAATTCAAGTTATCCTCAGATTAGTTGGGTCGCGTAGAAATACGAGCTGCTTCATCGGCTGCCTTGAACTTGACACACAATCGTGTCTCTTGATAGACGTTGTTATTTATATATTAAGCTAGTTCCTACTGCAGTCAATTGTTAAATGGCTAAGCGCTAAAGGTCTTCGATATTTGTTCAAACACAATTTTTTCCAAATCTACTTGAACTTTGATACGTTCGCGATTTATCATCGTTCTTATCATCGAACTTCTTTGTTTTTAAAACTTAAGCAATTCTTTTATTTGCGCAGTTTTTTTGCGTCATTATATTTATTAGACTTGACACATCCGGATCGGATTTTATTGTCACAATTCTTGGAAAACATCGGAGATTGCATGACGAACAGGCTAATATCGTCTAATTAGGTGATATAAATTTGCATTGCACATATACGTCGAGAATAATTTTAATATTAATTTAAATAATAATCGTACATTGAGCAATTATGTTATAAAAAGCATGTTATGTAAAATTGGATAATGTGATTATTTATACATCAAAAATTGTGCAATCCGATGCAGATTCTTGCCAATAAATATTTATTATATTCTCTATATTCTTATGCTGTTTATTTAATAATCTTCAATGCTTTTGCAGCCGAATTCTTGCACATTTGTCGTGTGAATGTACCGAAGTACGAGGCATGCGTCGTCGACAGCATAGAATTTTTGAAGCCGTATCTCAAAGTAGGCGTACCGGAATACAATATCCCATCATTGGAACCTCTCAAACTAAAGAAATTGACGATTGCACTTACAAACACCTTGCAAATACAGCTGACCGATGTCTTGGCAAACGGTGCGAGTAACTTCAAAGTTAGTAATGTAAAGTAAGTATCAAAAATATTGCAGTATCTCTTGTAAAAATGGAAGTCTGGTGTCAATCATTTGAAATAATTATTTTATTAATTTTTATTAATTTTTATTTATTAATTTATTTACTAATAATAAAATAATTTTTTGATTAATTTGATGAAAAATAATTACTTTAAACAATTGGCATCAGACTTATAAAATTAAAAAATTCTCTCCAATATACAAAAAATGAAAAAGAAAATTTCTTTTGCCGTTGTTGATTTGTGAAGGCGATATTGACGATTTAACAATCTTTCTTTTCGTAATTGTCAAATATCTTGATAACTCTGAGAGAGTTTTGGGTTAATAATCTTTTGGACAGTAATTTATCTTTTTTTATTTCTTGAGTTAATAATCTATAAATATAGCATTATGTTCAAATCAAGTAATATATGTAGTATGAGTTGTGCTCAGATCTTACGAAACTTCCGACGCGTATTTATACTTCTACTTTCAAATCAGTGCTGAATAGGCGAGAATCTTGTCGATTATACGATAAATAAACGTACGAGTGTATCATTCGAATAATAATCATCAGATATGGTCTCACAATTAAATTGATCGCATATAGTAACTTTTGCTCGACCATCAATCCAACTAAATTACATATAATTATGAAAGATACATGATTGCACACGTGTAGTTTTTGCTGTTTGACGTTTTTATATGCTGGTAGTTAGTTATTAAAGAGAAATATTTAAGTGCGCATTAAATCGCTTCGATTCTTTAATATGCATCGCTCTAGTAAATCTGTAAGAAAAATTAAACATTTTTATATCTTCTACTTTTTTTATATCTTCTACTTATATCTATACAAATATCAGTTTTGACACAAAAAATTGCAAAGATTCGAAAAGTCATAAAATCGATAAATTAAAAGACAATTTCGAGAGCAGAGCTGATGTTCGAGTGTGCAAAAATATTCCGATAAAAAAATTATATAATTAGATAGTTAAATTATATAAACTACATAAACGTTAACCTATATAAACTATATAATTAGATAGTTATATAACTAATAAAATAACTCTAATAAAAACTACTGATAAAAAAACTCTACTGTTAGAACGTGACAATCGATTTATTCTAATTACGTTTTATTTAAATGATCATAACAAATTGATTGAAACGATCTAATAATACTATTTTATCGCACTTGAGCATCAGCGCTTGCAATTCGTAACTGTTTCAATTTTTACAAATTTTATTTCTATTAATGAAAGAAAGTTAACTGAAGAGATTAAATATATAATGAGGCAAAATATATTTTAATAATAAAAAGTTTTTTATGTAGATATATTAGTTATACATTTTTTAACAGAAAATATTCTTCGAATCAATTTCTCTCATGATGATGAGATTTCTCTCATGAATTTTAAATATTTCGAGGTTTCAAAATTTTGATAACTTTTTAATATGTTTATTATAACAACGCGTATTGCTGCCGCGGCGTAAGAGTTAATTCGCGACGGAGAAGAAATAAATCAAATCGCGTAATAGTAGAACATGAATGCTTTACGATTTGTATTCCGCATGCGGATGGCCGTGACACAAACACTCAAAGTATATCTATGAAGCGTCGAGAATAACCGTGCCGTTCTTCGATTGCGAGGAAAGGAAGATGAGTATAATCGATGCAGACCGGAAAACCAAACGGAAACGACAATCGCCAGTAGCGTTTCTTGTTACCTCGTGACACGCGAAATTTAAAAGGACTCCCGTCAAACGGCACGAGGATTGAGAGCGAATGAGAAAGAGAGATGTAGCTTAGAATATATGGTATTGTAATAACGCGGACAATAATAGAAGGTCGATGCCGTTGCGTTGAAATTGTCATTAATGACAGTTCCCACGTGTGGGAACTGCGAATGGAAGGCTTATTAATCCAATGATAATTTATCGTGCGTTCGTCATAACATGAAATGCGCACATAATATTGATGTTTTAACATGACACCATTATGCAGCGTACACATTGTGTAATAAGTCGTATTGGTCGTAGACAATCTTGAAAATAACAACTGAATATTCACAAGGATTTCACTTTCTAGCAACTTTATATTTCTGTAATAAGCATTCGCACTCAATTAGCATCTCTAATGAAATGCATATGAAATCATGAGATGTACGCGCGAATGTTCGTACAATTGTAATGATAGCTCTTTCTTTCTCTCTCTCTCTCTCTCTCTCTCTCTCTCTCTCTCTCTCTTCGATAGGGTCGGTATCCTTACAAACCGTAATATCGGTGTCATATCGCGTGCAATTAACTTGGAGAATAAAATACTGAATGAAAATCTCACGTCTTACGAAACAACTAAAGATTTAATTTGTACGCATGGATGCGTGATAATGGCTGTGTTCCAAAATCCACTGCCAGTACTGAAAATCTATAGTTTACGTTACGTATATTGTAGATTTTCAGTACTGGCAGTGAATTTTGGAACGCAGCCAATATGACTTAAGGTGTCACGCGCGTTCGGCGAATGTATGTCTCTAATACTGTTCTTTGTTCTTTCAAGAGTCGCCTTCAAAGAGAATGTGCACGTGACGGTGAACGTACAATTGCCGAATATCCAAGTTGAGGGGAAATACGATATCGACGGCAAAATATTGTTGCTTCCGCTTCGCGGCTCTGGCCCGCTGCACGGCAACTTCTCAAACTGCTTAGGTATTTATCGTCGTTTCTGCAAACAGCAGAATTTCTTAAACCGTGATGCAGAATATGTTTCAGCATCAACTCTAATAATAATCATTGTTTGCATAAAATTTTTCACTCGCACATCTCGTACGAGATTGGGTCTCATATCTCGTATAACTTTTTAGGCGCGTGCAAAATCGTGGCTGAAAGATACATCGACGAGAACGGCGTCGAGAAATTTCGCGTCAAGGATTTTAAGCTGAAGATTACGGTAGGTCAGGGTACAGTGAAGCTGGACAATCTGTTTGACGGCGAACAGGCCCTCGGAGACATTGTCAACTCTACCATCAACAACAATTTCGATCTCTTCATGAAGGAACTTTTGCCGTACGTGGAGAAGGCGCTCTCCGACGCGTTCGCGCACATCAGCACTAGCATCGTCGCGCAGTTCTCGGCCGCTCAGCTTTTTCCCGGTGCGTATTGATAATCCAGATGAGCGGACTGGAGACTAATTGTAAATTTACAAAAGCGATAAAGCGGAAGTGTTAAAAAAAAACTTATTGCTATTTTCCGCTACATCGAATCTTTCTTACTCCGCGTATATGCTCGACTAAGATTCGCATGATTTAATTTGTGACACGTTAAGATTCTGTAGCGGATTTTCGATCTAGTCGGCACTCGATTCTAGCGAGAAACGACGAATAAAAGAATCGTGAATCGTGATTTTAGTGTCATTTAAAAATTCTATACTAAACTATTCAAAAGATAACGGTGAACTATTGTGACGAAAGATGTGACGAGTGATCGCGCGGATCAATGAGTCTGATTTACGATCTTTCGACATATGCAGGATATTTATTTAATTAATCAATACTACCTCAAAATTGAAGTAGCGCAAACCAGCCGAATATTTGCGAAACGTAGAACTTAAGAAAGATGATGACATTTCTTAGACGCTTTCTTTTTTTCACTTTTAGGGTGAAAGATATGCGAAATGAAAGTTTGAAAATACTAAGAAATGCAAAAATTTTAGAAAATATTTTTGTATATTTCTCGATGAGTCAAAATTTTTTTAATACGAAATTTCTATGATTATTATTACAAAATGCGAAAAATATTAGATAAGCTAAATATGTAGGATTAGTTTTAGCCCTGATCTACAATAGGCCTGTTCTTTATAGTTGAACTGGCTGCACTAGTTCAGAGTTTATCTTTCTCCTTCCAATGTAGAGGGAAAAAGAAAAACTCTGAACTAGTACAGCCAGTTCAGCTATAAAGAACAGACCTAGTGTGCTTCTTGCTTATTGTTTCTTGCCCTCTGCCTTTCGTATCTTTGTTTTTTATGTGTTTGTCGCATGGAGTCAAGAAACACCATGATTTACAATTTCTCTTTTCTAAAAATTTCCAAAGAAAAATATGCCTTTAAATAAAGCAAAAAGGCAGAAAACAAAAATCAAAAAGCACATTGTAGATTGCGTTTTAGGGAAAAGTTTCTTATAAAAATCAAAGTGAAAAATCAAACTGAAAAATCAAAGTAAAAAATCAAAGTGAAAAATCAAAGTGAAAAATCAAAGTAAAAAATCGAGTATTTCTTTGTAAATTTAATGATAAGATATTGTAAATCAAAACTCTTACTCTCTGATTCAATTCCAATTGAAACAACTTATCGACGAACAGTAAACAGCATGCTATTTTATAATTTATTTTATCCATTATTTGCCAGCAAAGATAAAGAAATCTGTAGAGTTTATCTGTGAGATTATAATACAATATATTTTTATAATGATAATATTAATGAATATACGGCGATACGGTGCGTTTTTCAATGCGTTATGTATTGTTAAATAATGTTATTGAATCTAATATTTGTCAAATAATATCAATATTTTTTTTTTTTTTTAGTTTTTAAATCAAATATAATTTGTATTTGTATAAGATAGGTTTACTTATGTAACAATTTTTAAATCAATCGCATGTTATATAAATAACACATTATACATTTAATCACGATAATGATACTAATCAACGCTGCAATATGTATTCTACAATAGCATTAATTGCTATTGATTAATTCAAAACATTTTCAATAACACATGCTACTTACATATGCTGTAAACGTAATTTTATTGTATTGCAGTAAGCAATTAAAATATTCTTAGAAGTAAATTTTTAAAAGTAAATTCTTAAATCATAGATAGTGTATATACTGTGTATCTGTAATAAATTTATTAAAATTTATTGAATTGTATATTGATAAGAAAATCACTTATTCCAATTATAAAATATAATTAATATTATTTTGTTATTAAAATAAATCAGTGAAACTCTAATTCTATATTTTTACTTTTAATCTCTTTGTTTCTCTCAATTATATGTCAAAGCGAAAGTCATAATACACAGCTACATGAATATGCTTTGCTACAAGAAATTTATTTAAATTCCCCACAAAACAAGCGTCAGCAATAAATTGCAAATATTTATAATATAAACAAGCCGAAGGATAATTTAATCAGATTATTTTTTTAAATTTTACTGCATATAAATAACAAATTACACCGGCGCAATAGATATAAAATATTACAAAAAATGTACATACACACACACACACACACATCAATCTCAATCATTTCCAACTTATGTATATTTATTAGCCACTTTTTTCAAAACTGGTGCATAATATAACAAGAAAATTTAATGAAATTTTGCTAAAATATATTTGAAAATTTCTCTCACAATTGACCCCATTAATTAATTTCATAAATATTTCAGCAATTTTTCATTAAAAAGTAACAGTTTTCAGTTTAATTCAGTAAATTTCATAATGATAATTATTTCAAAAACTCTCTCTCTCTTTTATTACTTTTTAGCAGTATATTTTAATATTCCTTATATTTCATAGTATTACACATTAAATTTTCATACGGAAAATTATGATTTATTTTGAAATATATTCAGTAATTTTTCAAAGACTTATTTTACTTTTTAATTTTTAAATTAAAAAAAAATTTAATTTAACACTCGATTTATATTCGAAATACATTCTGATTTTCATCAAAAGAGTCATAATATAAATATGTTCGTGATCATTACTGTTAAAGAGTGTATAAAGTGCTATTTTTTCGGCGTTTTCGGCGAAATTTATTTCCCGTTTTTCTTCTCCAATTCTTAACCGACTTTGCTGAAATTTTTTCTTTGAGTTTTTTTAATATTAAAAATTTTTTTACGTTTTTTACATTTCTGGCTTTATATACTCGGGGTAACATTAAATATCATAGAAAAAATGTCAACAAAATCGGTTAAGAATTGGAGAAGAAAAACTGGAAACGCGCGCGCGCGCGAGAGAGAATGTGTTATTTATTATTATTCAAAGAATCCTATATATAAGATACCTGTTTCTTATTTTATTATCTATTTCTTATTTAATTAATAAAAAAATTTTCCCTTGCTCCACTGTCATTAAGGGGCGGCAAATTTGATTCAGCCTAGAAGCGGCAGAAACCGAAATCCGTCTCTGCTTTCAGCAAAATATTTCCATCAGGGATATCTGATTTTCTTTGTACTAATTATCACAGATGAATATTTAATGTTACCAGTTTTCTAAAATCGCAAGGTATCCTTTGAATACACGCAATATTCGATACGGTAAATATTCACATAAGGTCAATACCCTCAAAAGTTAATGACCTTGACATATATTGTTAAGGACATATCCCCGAGTAACAATCAAATCTATGTGTCTAGTTTTTTGATAGTGAATCCTCTCCCCCCCTCTCCCCCGTAGAGAGAGGGGGCGAAACACACTGCCTTCACGCATACATTTTCTACGCGAAGCGAGATTCTACATGGGTTTGGAACTTTCCAGGTTCGCGAAGTTTTTAACTTTCAGTTGCAAACCCATGTGGAACTTCGCTTCGCGTGGAAAGTGTATGCGTGGAGGCAGTGTATTCCGCTCCCCTCCCCCCCTACGGAAGAGCTTCACCATAAAAAAAACTATACACATAGGGTCTGGATTGAATCTCGCTTTGCGTGGAAAGTTGTAAATCTATGTGGAATCTTGGAAACGATGATGTATTCAATAAATTGTTTTTGTTAATAACTTTTTAATAAACAACGAGTGACGGCTAAAACCTTGTGATTATTACTCAGGGATATGTCCTTGACAATATATATCAAGGTCATTAACTTTTGAAGGTGCTGACCTTATGCGAATATTTACCTGATTTTCTTTTTACTAATCATCACAGATGTCATGACAAAATATTTAATGTTACCGTTTTTTAATATTGCAAGGTACCCTTTGAACACACGCAATATTCGAAACTGTGAACATTAGCTTAAAGTAATACGTTTATTTGATATAAAAAAGAACAAAAAAAAAAAAAATTGACTTTTTATATTATTAATACATAAGTAATACAATTTTGTTATCAAACAGAGTTGTAAAATTTGCTTACAATTAGCTTAAATAAGAGATAAAAAATTGTTATTATAACATATTTATTTTTAAATAATTTTTTAACTATGATATCAAATATCTTAGCACATAATTTTTATAAATTTATATGTTGTCAAATTAATACAAAGATATTTTAATACTAATGCGTACAAATTTGCATTGTTATGCTAGCAATTAACAACGATTACATAATATATCTACATTCATTAACTAGCAAAAGTAAAATTTGTATTGCCTCTCACTAAAATATTGTAAAATTCAGTTTCAGTTCGTTTCTTCAATTAAAATAGAAAATATGCAAAATGACCTCGTGACAATAGACCTTAAAGTCCTAGAGTGATTTACGTTCGTTCACAGAGGAAACAGCTCTTCGTAAGTGAAATGTTTAACTATATCATTGGCCACCGAGATAATCACTTTAGAAACAGCTTCTTCTAAAGCCGGCTTGAAAGTTTTAATAATCTCTTCATTATTATTCCCTATAAAATTCTCAATAATTTCCTGTAATTGTCCTAAATTCCCAGTATTTTCATATTGATTTTCGAAATCTTTGATGTCGAGATTTAGCAATATCTTCGACAAATATATATATCTCTTGGCACCTTTGGTTATCATTTTAAAGTTCAAGTTTACGTCCGCATCTACGTTATCTGTAAAAAAAACACAGTCTGATTATTTCAGTGGAATAAACTCAGATTTCCATTTTTTTCAAATATTTAAATATAGATTTTTATAAATTTTAATTTAATTCTAGTGCAAAATCGATTATTTCATATAATGTATTGTAATTTACATACCTGTAATAATATAAACCTTTCCTTGATAAGCAATAGGCACCAGTATGCGAATATTAAAATCATATGTGGTGTTCATGTAGATACGATTAAATGAAATTTTAGTAGCGTAACGAAGAGTGTCGAGATTCATAGTAAAATTTTTTATGGTGAAATCGCAAAGTCCGCTCACTTCTGTATTTTTCACATATAATTTCACGCTATTTGATTCCGAAATAATGAGTTTGTCAAGATACAACGGATCGTTCGACGGAATATCCAATTCCGGAATTCCTTCGCAGATTTTACCCTTTAAATTATCAATGTTGTCCAATATGCATTTGTCGAGATTCGGATCTTTCCGACCGCACACGTGAATGTATGAAGCTGCAAGAAATTTATATAACTGTTATTAATTTGTAACAGACGGAATAAAATAATAAATTGGAAATAAAGTATAAATGAGCAAAATATATTTTAAAATGCGTAATATTTTTATGATACGTAATCGGTATATCAAATATTTTATGCAATGCTAAATCTTTAATAATATTGCATTATCTGTGTGATATTTTATGAATTATATAGATGATAAATAATAAAAGATTCTTAAACGCCATTTTCAATACTTTCGTTATTTAACTGTAGAGTATATTTTTTATCGTTGAAAATTGCGAACGCGAATGTATTTGTTGCACTCGTACACGCTATTATGTGTTAGTTGATCTTTTTTGCATTTTTTATAAGTTCTCTGTATTTTTTTGTCAAGAGGTGACATTTGATTAAAAGATAATTGTACTTGAACTATGTTCTCTTTTTTTCTCAATCATATTTTTTTACATTCGCGTTATATCATCTAACATGTATTTTACGTCATATTTAAATTGTCATTCCGTTATTGTATTATTATTAAAATGTTTCTAATTATATTAAAATTGCTACATTTCCTCGTAACATCCGGATGAATAATCCATATCAAAAAATGATATTTTGTCAAACGTTTCTTTCCAATCACGCGATCAGTCTCTTGCTTCAAGTAGATGTATAATAACAATTTTTTCCAAGCAATATAACAAGAAAAACGTACATATATCATGATAGAAACACAAAAATGTACTTACGTATTTCCGCCGCAACATGTGTTGTTACAATTACAAAAGCTAAGGCTATTGCAAACATTTTTCACACAACAAAAGTTTTTCTCGCGATGCAAGAACGCCTGCTAAGACTGCTATGAGAATGACTAAGAATACGATTTTAAAGACAGCGAAAGCGAATAAAGACTGACCTATTCACGATCGAATCAAGCTTATATATGTGCATACTGCACTGCATATATCAGTCAGTGGTTTATAACCGGTTTTTTTTTCTTGCACTGCGTTATAATTCACTTTGTTTAAGTTCACGGCTAAATTTATTTTTGTGACAAAATTAAAGAAATCAGTATGCATTAATTATCGTCGTGCACGACATATATTAACACATACCAGAAATAAAAAAAGAAAGCAAGAATTAGAATTAAGAAAATTTTATCAATATATTTTATCATTATAAGCAAGTTTTCTTCACGTGGAAAGACATTTCAGTACAAACTTTGGCAGAACTATTCACCATATATATATCACAAAAAAATAAATACTCTATGCCGATAAAAATTTATTTAAATTACATTATAAAAATATAAATAATGCATTTATGTTAAATCAATTTCATAACTGTATAATTTTGTAAACAAAATATTTTAGTCAAGAAATATCACGATGTCACAGCACTAAAAAATTGCGGAAATAAAATTAAAGAAATTTTATATATCTTTTTGTGATAAGAAATGCATTTGCAAATTTTGCTTGTAAAGGGTAATTTCTATTTTTTTTCTATTTTTTATTAGATTGCGTAAGAAGAGACTATGTAAATAATGAATAATCGGCAGAAGAAACATTTTCCACAGCATTTCATATTTAACAAAGCATGAGATACGCCTTTTTATAATAAATCATAATAAATAATAATAAAGAAGCAAATAAGATTTATCGAGGATATTTGCTTAAATAGCTTTTATAACGTTTATAAAAAAATGCCTAGTCAATCTTGCGATCAACCAATCCCCGTTTATATCTTTGAGCTATTATCAATTTCATCATTTACTTACAAGAAATAAAAATGCAAGATAATGTACATAATTGCAGTGAAATAATTAAAAACATTTATTATCAGTATTGAATAATACTGTATTTAATAATTTCATAATTAATTAGTTAAAGCCTAAGCATTGGAATACTAAAATTTTTATTAAATCATATTTTTGCAATTTATTGAACGTAACCTTAAAGTTCCCGTCTTGCACTCATTCCGATCGGAATCGACTTTTCACTTGTTTACAAGTTATTGAAATATCAAAGAATGTATATAATAAGGCAGCTGATGGAAAATGAAATTATTTTTAAATATTTCGAAATAAAGTAAAAGTCTTAATGACTGAACATGTCTCAATTTTTTACATATATTAAAAAAATAATTTGTACTTAATGTTTATAAATATAAACTCTATAATATTTATAAATATAAATATAAAACTCAGAAGTTAAATTAAAAATCAATTAAAATGCAATAACCTAAGCTAACCTAATAAAAAAAAACTAACAAAAAAACTATAAGAATCAAAACGAGATACTGAGATGCTAAAAATTTTTATCAGAAATTAATTCAGAGAAGCGATACGAATACAGAAACGTTTCAGTTCAATTTATGAGTCCTCTTCAGTCTGGTAGGATTCTACCCAAAAAATAACAATAATCATAAATAATGTGCGTAAATAACGTGCGACAGTTACTTTTTCTATTGAAAAAAATTTATTGTGTTATATTTAACTTTGTAATGATTAATAGAACGAGCTGAAATTATATTGTGCGAGACAATTTAGATTAATCTTGAATTTTATTAAGGACAAATAATTTTTTAAAACGAAAGGAAGCATGATTAGTTCGAATAAGTTTTAGAAACCAGTTTCAAAAAATTTCCGATTTTCTGATGTAAAAAATATCTTTTTTATATATATATAT